CCAACCAGTTGATATCAATTTAATTCCTAAGAGTTATGTACTTGTTTTGAGTATCTAATGTAGAAGTTGTAACCAAGTTCAATTACGAAACGGTCTAAATGAATGATATACTGAACGTATGTCCTCTTGATATGTGTAACTCTTCGTAACTGAATGAATATATATCTTTTGTATTCTGATTACCCTCACGATAAGATCTGTTATCTGGTTATCATGGTCTAATGAAGAGGTTAAACCACCCCGAGCTTGCCGATATAGACTCCAGCTCCCCTGTGACCCTGTACTAAGTAAAGTATGTGGATGGAAGTGAAAACACACAAATCCTACAAAGGAAATAGTCCTGGTTTGTGTTAAATCGCTGAAGAGACAAGGACTTGAGAGAGTGTGTGAGTGAGCAGAGTTAGGAGAAGCAGCAGGCCTGAGCTTGGATCATGTGGAACAGCTGTGGGGGCTCTTAGCATCAAGCAGTCTGGTGTTCTGATACACCTGAAGACAAGCTTCTCTGTTCTCTGACTGTCAGAAGAGCTTCTTAACTAAAAGCTGCGGAGACACAGCAATAAATGCAGCTGCCCAGGCCAGCAAGGTGAATAAGCTGAGCAATCAGCACACTGTTCCATTTCTGCAATCCAGCCCAGAGGGAGAGACACTCGAGTAACAGGAAGTTAAAGAGCTTGCAGACAGAGTTTACAGGACACTGTCAGACAATACTGTGTTGGGCACTGCCCCCTAGTGGATAAAGATATGTATAATATCTAGAACTTCAGGTGGGTAGCTGCGTCAGCATGCGTAGGCTGCAAAGATACAAGTAATAGGTTTATTCCATGCTGAAAAGAGAAGAAAGAAAACACAATGTTTTGGCTGTGGAGCCTTCTTCAGGTGTAAGAAAGACAAGGCAGTAAACAAAGGTAATGTAGCAGGAGAATAAAAGCTGGGAGAGATGAGGAGCCAGAGGCAGGAGCAGGGGACAGACAGAGTGGCCAATCAGTTAGTGTGAAGTCAGGATAGGTGAAGAGAGGTGTGAAGTGAAACCTACAATGAATAGAGAGAATTAAGAAGAAAATCAGTCTGTCATTGAGAGAAGGGGAAAGGTATGATCCTAGCTGCAGGATAATTTTAGTTTCTGTAGTCTTTCTGATGTGGGAGTTAAGAAAACCATCTTTGAGAACACAGACGGAGAGATTAGTGTGATCATGGCTGTCAGAGGCGAAATGAGAAACAATAGGCTTGGAGAAATCTTTAATCTTCACAGCCCTAACATGTTCTCTGAAGCGGTCTCCGAGTCTCCTTCCTGTTTCCCCAATGTAGATGGCTGGGCATTTACTGCAAGAGATGCAGTAAATAAGTTTGCTGGAGGTACAAGATGTAATCTGAGTGATCCGGAATTGTCCTGAGGGGCCTTGAATGGGTGTGGTGTTAGATGTGTACTTGCAGGTGATACAGCAAGCTCCATTGCAAGAGCAAGTTCCTGGTGTGGATGGTTGCTGAGGGCGGTCAAGTAAATGCCCAGTAAACACAGGTCCAACTTCACCCAAGGAGAAATACATGCTGGTAGAAGAATGCTTCTTCGCTTCCTACACTGGCTATGTCCTTGACCTCTACAAGCAAGACATTGATGACTGTGTTGGTGCCGCCACATGCTCTAACGACTAACTTGAGCACTTTCTGCATCACTTCACAACTTCCACCTGTCCCCTAAATATACAGTTAACATATCTTCCACTACTCTTCCATTTCTAGACATCAACTTCTACATTAACTACCCCTGACTATTACAAACCAACAGATTCACACAGCTACACAGCCATCTCCTGTATAGCTCATTTCACCCCAAACACATTAAAAACTCTCTCTCTTTTTCACAGTTCCTTCGGCTACAATGATTATGCAGCGACGACATCGATTTCCAGAACCAAGCCCCCAAAATGTACTCTTTTTTTCATCACCAGAGGATACCCTAGCATTATTATTGACAGGGCCCTTGCCCGAGCCAAAAACACTCCACAGACAATCAACTCAATCAGGTACTCCTGCCATACCAACCACATTCCATTGGTGCTTCTCTTCCACCCCAACACACTTCTTATCCCCAGGACTATTAATGACAACATTTCCATCCTACAGGATGATCCCTCCATTGGGGACTTCTTTTCTGACCGCCCCATCATCTCATATTGCTGACCACCTAATCTGCGTAACCTTCTTGGTCACAGCTCCCTTGACCGCCCTCAGCAACACCTCTCTACAGATGCAGCCATTCAAAGTGAGCGGTACAGACACGTACCGCAGGTAAGATGACACGGGGTACCGCGGTGCGTGATTGGTTG